CGTTGACGGGGCCCCCAGTCCAGATCAACACGCGCTGGGCTCTGCGCTGCACGTGCATTTGCAAAGCCCCCCTTGCTCCGAGACCCCGAAACACCCACGAAGTTCCTCCCAAAGCCAAGCGTCCGTTTCGCGTCCCCTTCCGACGGTTCCAAATAAAGGAGGCGCGGGTCCTTCTGCAAGACCTGGGGGGGGCGCCCGAGCACACAAACACCGGGGGGGTGGGGGGAATAGAAGAGAAGCACATTTACCTTGTTCATCCCATTCCCCATGGCTCTTAAGCGACTGGAAAACTTTGGAAGCCACAGAAACCGGAGGCAGCCTAAGGGGTGGAGAGCTGCAAAGGGGGTGTGGGGTGGGAAGTAGGAGGAAAGGGGTATATTTACTTTTAAGGAGTGAGAAGCTGGAGTATTAGATGAGCTGTGATATTAGTAGTTGGGCTACGCAAGGTCTCCCCACCGTCGGATTAAAGGGGACTTTCCCTCTTAAGTGGCTTATGATCAAAGCTTTCTTTCCCCCCCACTAGACTTCCGCGGATCAAAGCCCGGAGGAACAAGTTAGCAGCTTCCCCCTGCCAGGAATTGCGTCTCTCTCCCTCCAGCCACACCACTCCCACGTGTGATTAGAATGCAGGCGCCGAGTAAGGCTTCGCTGGATAACAACCGCTGAGCCTTCTGGGACTCGTAGTTCTGACGCTCATTCGCTCAGCGGCCTGGAGGCGACTCAAAGGACTACAAAGCCCGGGATGCGCATCGCCCAAGGAGGGCTCCGCCTCCTCGTCCGCGCTCGCGGAGTCAGGAAGCCCCGCCCACTTTCATTCCTGGAAGGATGAGTAAGCCCAGGCGCCGCCGTCGTCTGCTTGCCGCTGCTGCGAACAGTTGTGGGGGCGTCGGATTTGTTTGGTTTCTGGGCAGTTGCAGTCCATTAACGCGACATATTCTTTTTTCTTTTGCAGAGAGATAACTATTGGAGCGTGTTGCCGTGCATGCAATGCAAGGCTTGGTCGTCGGGCTTTCCCCCAGCTAACAGTTGATCTGTTAAAATGTATTTGGCTGCCCCGATTATAGTAGTTTTCAGATGATAGTAAGGACACCGCACAGACGCTGAGCCCCCCACCTCCGCTCACCAGTGCTCGAGCTTGTATAAGCGGCTTTGGTTTGCACACTGGTTTTTAGGGATGCCAGCTTCCAGGTGGCACCTGGAGATCCCCTGGCCATTCCCCGTAACCAATAATGGACCGAGAAGATTTGGAAATCTGAAAAAACTCTGAATCTGAATAACATACCAGGATCTGGAATTCAGGAATAGTGGGAATAGCAATATTTTGGGGGTCCAATATACCCAAACCTCTCCTTTTTTAGCACACCCCTGCCTGGCACCATGGAAATATTGGCGTGGGCACCGGCTGCTGCTCCCACAGTTGTAAGTGTTTATGGTGAGAAAATTGTTAGATCCAGCACTGAATAAGAAGAGCTCAGACATGACTAAGGACATAGGTGCAATACCAGTAGTCAGTGACTAGTTTATCAGGCTTCTATTATGTTCTTCCTCAGAAATTGCTCAAAGCAGCATAATTGGAGAGAAGGAGAAGCCAAGATTTGTAGCAGTCAGAATGTTGGACTGCGAAGACTAAAGTCCAGATTCTCGCAGAGCTCACAGGCTGATTTCAATCAGTCCCTATCAGTGCAACCCTAAGAATATTTTCCTACTCATAAGCCCTATTGCATAGGCCTGAGTAAGTGCCTGCATAGATCTCCTAAGGATGGCACTGTACTCTCAGCCTCACCTACTGCGCAAGGTTGTCGTGAGGGTTTTAAAGGGGACGGCTAGTAAACCATGTGTAACATTGTGAGCACCTTAGAGCAAGGATGGGCTGCATAAATAAATAAAATAAATGCAAGAAACACTGGCCACAGAGCCAGCTTGAAGTAAGGGGATTTGAAACCTGACTTTTCACATAGGAATTTAACACTCCAGGTACTGCACTGTGTGTTATTCAGTACATCCTAGTCATCGTGACAGGACAGAGGGAGGAAATGTGTATCATTAAGTATGGATTTGGTATGTAAACAGAGCACGCACAGGAAACACTCTGGTTTCATGCCACTTAGAAAATGAGCCTCTCTTTATACAACCAAAGTCGATAAACTGGGCAGGCTACCAGGGCAAAAAAGAAAAGAAGCAGCAGCAGCAAATTCCATCCTCCAGGCAACTGATAAGGAGGAGGCATTATTCCAACAGCAGCAATCAAATAAAAAGATGTAAGAGCTAATTTTGCACAGCTGGGGAGATAAAAAGCAAGAGCCAAAAATACTTCAATTGGTGCACTTGCCAAATCTGGTTTGTTTTTTTATGGGGGCAGGGTCCATTTATAACCTTATTCTCAAAAAACCCTAATTAAAACCCCGTTTTAAGCAGCACACTGCAATCATTCATATTAGCCACAAGGTATAGATAGGGGCTCTGGGGCAAGTGATGCTCTGTCTTCTTGGTGCTTGGTGGGGCAACAGTGGGAGGGCTTCTAGTGTCCTGGCCCCACTGGTGGACCTCCTGATGGCACCTGGTATTTCTGGCCACTGTGTGACACAGAGTGTTGGACTGGATGGGCCTGATCCAACATTGGCGTCTCTTATGTTCGTATGTTCATTCAATGTTTTGTTTTAAAGCAGCGCTGTGTAACCATTCAATGTGGGACTAGGATATGGGAGACCCCAGATTCGAATCCCCACCCTCTCATGAAGCTTTCTGGGTGGCCTTGGGTCAGTCACTCTCTTCCAGTCAAACCTCTTTCGCAGGACTGTTGAGAGTAGCCTAGGATTGCCAGTCTCCAGGTGGTGGCTGGAGATCTGGAATTACAGCTGGCCTCCAGGTTACAGAGATCAGTTCCCTTGGAGAAAATGGATGCTTCAGGCAGTGGACCCTATGGCATTCTACCCCTACCCTCCCCAAACCCCGCCTTCCCCAGGCACCAGCCCATGCTCCCTCTAAGCTGTGGAGTCTGTGAGCAAAAATTCTACTCTGTGAACCATTGGCATTAAAGCTGTGAGCGAGCGATTTGTCTGCTGCGTAAAATAGTTTGCTGTGGAGCCATCCTTCCTGAACTAAGACAAAAACGTGTGAGCCAGAGGCTAAAAAACTGTGAGCTAGCTCACACCAACTCAGCTTAGAGGGGACACTGGGCATGAACCCCTAAAATTTCCAGGTATTTCCCAACCCAGAGCTGGCAACTTTGCCTACTACAACATACTGATCTGTGTTTCTGGCCCTGAGAACTCAGGGAGAGAAAGCCACATTCAGAGTCACTTGAAAGAGTCTCCCTGCCTCCTTACTAATATTATGGCAACTGCATACACTGAAAGTCCCTGGCTTGCTTTGGCCTCCGTTGTGGGTGGCCCGAGACAGCCAGGCAAATCCTCACCTTTCGTGTCCCAGTCATAGGGCAGGTTGCCTTTCATTGTACAGAAATGGGCCAGGCTGGAGATAGGGAGGGGGAAGGAGTTGAAATTCCTGCTCTCTACTGTTTGGTGTAACGGTTGTGCAGGGCTCTAATTTGGGAGAACCAGGTTGGATTCCCTCTCCTCCACATGCAGCTGCTGGTGTGCCCTTGGGTCAGTCACAAGTTCTCTCAGAGCTGTTCTCTCAAGGGCAGTCTTCGAAAGAGCTCTCTCAGCCCCACCGACCTCCCAGGGTGTCTGTTGTGGGTAAGGGAAGGGAAAGGAGATTGTAAGCTGCTCTGAGACTCTGAGTGAAGGGCGGAGTATAAATCCAATCTCCTCCTCCTCTGGAAAGCAATGGAGGTTTACCAACCCATCTAAAAACCAAATAGTATTTGGCATTCAGGAAGCTCTATTTCATTCACCAGGATGTTGTCAAAGGGGAAAATGAGCAAAGCAAGTCTAAAAATCTTGTTAGTTTTTAATACTATTTACCAAAATTCTGGGATGACGCTCCTCTCCATTTGCACTTTTGGGGCAGAATGTGTACAGAAGCGGCCCTACACTTTGTCCTTTTTGGACTATGTCACATGGACATTGGTAAGCAATATCTGCATAGTACAGCCACTTTCCACTTCTTTCCCCCTGTAAATAAAAAGCAACTAGGTTATTAAAGAACTCTTGGGGGGGGATTGCATTTGGGGTGCCTTTTCACCCAAAATAATGAGATTAGGCTGTAGTGTGGTAGATTTTTACACCAGACAATGTAACATATCGTGGATTTGGGGGGCGGGGGAGGAAATACTCCAGTGAGTCAGAACGACTTCGGAAACATTAAGTGCACCAGACAAACACAGCTCCGTCCTCATTCCGCCAAAAAGATAACTTGGTAACATTGCACAGAACTGCATGAGTTCCTGCATGTGCAAAAGGAGGGGAGAATCTAAACTAGAGGTCCCCAACATGATGTCCTTCAAGTGTTTTTAAAAAGTGGGTGGGGCCGTGTGGGGCTTTTCCATTGGAGACTGGCCACTGGAGATCTGATTGGCTGGGCAGATTTTTTTAAACTCTCGCTTTGGCAGCAGCGGGCACCACAGCAGAAGGATCTTTACTGGGGGACTGAAGGCAAGCTGTGGCAGCCATTTTGTGGCTGAGCCCACCGTGTTGTGCCAGAAGTCCAGAGGTGCCTGCAGCAGGGCCGTAGCCAGGATTTTTGACTTTGGGGGGGGGCATTTAAATAAGTTGGGGGGCACTGTGTCAGGAGCGAAAAATAAATCAGCTGGATGGTAAGTTGGGGGGGCAGCCCTGAAATGCCCCACTGTATCTACGGGCCGGGCCTGCAGGCTTTAAAAAGTTAGGGACCCCTGAGCTCCTGTGTATCTCCGGGCCGGGCCTGCAGGCTTTAAAAAGTTAGGGCCCCCTGAGCTAAACAAACCAAATATTCCGCCACATTGGCATTTGACTTGGGGTATGACTACAGTGGTGGTGAGCACATCATTATTTCTTTACTAGTAATAAGGCTAGTTTTACTATTTACCAGTAATAATAACAAGCGGGAATTAAGATTGCTGGGGAAAAGATCAACAACCTCAGATATGCAGACGATACCACTCTAATCAGAAAGTGGAGAGCACCTAAAGAGCCTCGTGCTCAGAGTAAAAGAGGAGAACGCAGAAGTGGGCTTGAAGCTCAACATCAAAAAAACTAAGATCATGGCATCCGGCCCCATCACTCCTTGGCAAATAGAAGGGGAAGTAGTGGAAGTAGTGACAGACTTCACGTTCCTGGGATCCC